GTTGTTTGAAGATGTGCCATTCTCACTGGGGTGAGGTGGTATCTCATTGTGGTTTTAATTTGCATCTCCCTTATTACGAGTGATGTCGAACATTTATTCATATGCCTGTTGGCCATCTGCATTTCCTCTTTGGAGAAATGCGACTAAGTGCACTTTTGATGGTGACTGTGTCAATCATCCTGATGCTCTCAAAGTCATTAATCCTAAGGTGGAATAGAGGTGATTACTCTCTGCAGAGGAGGAGAAAGAGAAAACCTGGCAACCTGAGCCACACCACACTCCCTTTATTCTCAAAATATTTTCCTTAACCAGTTTTCTTTTTTTAACCCTCCTCCTCAGCTCTAAGTACTTCCTATGGGGTAAAACAAAACAAAATTAGAGAAGTCCCAGGCAACTGATAGTGATAAACTACCAAGGAGTGCCTCTCTATGAACCAATATATATGTGTATACAGGCACATCATGACCCTTCACATGCTACCTGACACACACAAAAACACACAGACCTCATGCACGGATACTTCTGCTCCTAGCACTTCAGCTAACATAACCACACAAGGCTGAATTCTCCTCAGAATCAGCTAGCATTACCCTATTCCATGTATGTTCCTACAAAAGAAATGAACTAAGAAGTGCATAAACAGTCAAAACCCATCAGAGTCAGATATAATGTATATGGAGAATCGCAGGTGTGAAGTGCACGGACTTTGGTGTCGAGACCATTTGGATTAAAATCTGAGCCTGGTTATTTTTACTAACTGAGTGATCTTAGGTGATCACTTAACCTCTGTAAATTTAATTTTTTCGATACTATAAAATAGCTGCTTTGGGAAGTCTGTAAAAATTAGAAATGGCATATATACAATGCTTGGAATCCAGAAAGGTCTCAATAGATAGAAGCTGCTCTTACTATCTTGGTGTTGGGACACTGGAAATTCAAGATGCCACAGGTCCTGCAAAGGAAACGCAGAATAAAGACCAGAACGCTACCACATCCGGATGCAAAGCACTTGGATGGTTTTAGATTACAGTCTAGAGTCTACCTATGATTACACTGAAGCCAGAGACAGGAAGTGACTCGATAAGGTCACACAGCAAGTTAATGACAGCCAGGACAACATTTCAGGTTAAGTCTGGAAAGGTCCAACGCAATGGTCTTTTCGGTAAAGGAGGCGGCCCCTCAGCTGCCCAGGTTCTGCTCTGACGTGCCCCTATTTCGCTCTGATGTACCCCTCCTTTGTACCTGGCCGAATCCCCTCAACTGACGGGCAAAGAGAAAGAGCAGAGGTGTGTTTCTGATGACCACCGGGCTGTACCGACATCCCGTCGTCATGGCAACTCCGGTTTAGTCTGGGAGGACCGGCAGCTCCTGCCCCCCTCCCCTCACGCAGCGGACGTGACACGTGCGGCAGGGTCACGTGTTGTTGTTGGGCCGTGAGAGCTGCTTCCGGGTCAATGGAGGACACTGGGCTCCGGCGGCCAGAGTGGGGGACGAGGTGAAGCGGAGCCGGGCTGGGCCGGCCGGGACCAGGCCCGAGGCCGAGCGGCGGCGACGCCGGTGGCCGGGAGGGGGGAGGAGAGGCGCCGCCCGAGGAGCCGCCGCAGCAGCTCCCCCGCCTCCCGGGCTGAGGGGTGAGTGGAGCCGGGGCCTGCCGGCTCCGCCAGGCTCGAGGGGCCCGAGGCGCGCCCCTCCGGGGCCGAGCGTCGCTCCTGTTGGGGCGCACTGTGGGGAAAGGCGGGGAGGATCTCGGAGCGGTGTGGAGCTTGCCGGAGAAGGGGTGGGACGGGAGACAGGCCCGGGGCTGGAGGGCGGCGGGGCCTGGGCCGGGGCGGAGCGGGGACGGCCCTGGGCCAGGACGGGGAGTCCAGTCCCGGTGGGAGGAGGGTGGGGGCTTGAGTCGTTGGGAGAACCCTGCCTTCTCCCTTGGCCCCGGGGGGGTGGGGGGGGGGGGGGGGAGATGGAAGATGCGCCCTAGTTGGCTGGAGATGGGAGGCGAGTCTGAGGCTGCTGAGGAAACAGGAAACTTGACTCAACCACTGAATCAAAAAACAAAACAAAACAAGAAAAATACAAGAGGGGGTTGGTGGTCGGAAAGGAGCCAGTGGACATTAGGCTTGCCCCTTCCAGGGACAGATAAAAGGAGGCGGTAGTTTAAAAAGGACTTTTGTGACAGTCTCTTTGCCCCAACTTGGAGATGCTGAGGAATGAGACTGGATAAAGATGGGACCGGGGAGGAGGTTAGCCGATGCTGGCATCTGTGTGGAGCTTCAGATATTGTCGAGTGTAAAATGCAAGTTCCTTTCCTAGGAAGATATCCTGGGATTGGTAGAGAGAGGAGATTTAATACTGCCTTCTCATGGGACAAAGTGGTTCTAGAAGTTGTAGTTAAGAAAAGTTTCTTGGAAGAGTTGTTCTGTTTACTGTCCATGGAGGAAGGAGGGGCTCTACCCTGAGGTTGCTAAGCTACAAAGGAGCTGGTAGGCAATGCTGGGGACTGTTTGGGGAAGTTAGCAGTCCTTTCTGGTCCAAATAATGATTTAGCTGAAGCCTGTCCCAGTTCTTTTTATGCTGCTCTGGAGTTCTTAAATTGGTTCCCAGGAGCTTGTGAGCAGAGAGATTGGTGTACTTGGAAGTGCTGGCGATTGGTGGAAACATTCAGCCTTTGGGTCTTTAGGCTTTAGACCTAGACTTCCAGGTCTAGTTTTCAAACTAGGTAGCTTTATTATTATTTTTTAAAGTCACCTCCATAGTAGTGCATGTTACATCATGATCTAGTACACCCCTACATAGGGAGGGAGATTGCAAAGTAGTAGTTATCTTTATTAACATGTCACATCCTTGGTCATCTCTACTCTTCCATCCGCTTTCATTAAAACATGTTGACTCAAATTCACTTAGATTTAGGGGTCACAACTTGCAGTTTGAAAAGTACTATCTCCAAGGCACTTTCCTTCCCCTTCAGTGTCCCCATGTTGTATGCTTCTAGAGAGCAAGGGTGATTGTAAGGCAGTGGATGGTTGAGGGGTGGGAGGAGCCAACCAGATGCCGTTGACTGCTTCAGTTTTGCCGTTATAGGTAGCACATGTAGTGTCTTCTAAAGTACCTTCAGTCTTAATGTTGCCTGATCAAATTTGACATTTTTGAAATGTGTTCTTTAATTTTCTATGCCTTTTGCTGTGGCTAATTCCATGTAGTTATTTATCCCCATAAGGAAGTTAAGATAATTTGATGTTTCAGTGTTATAAAGATATATTGATTTGTTTTTCTGCTATTTGAAAAGTCTGAAACCGAAACCTAAACTCTTTTTACTCTAGTAATTATTATCTGGTATACTTTTTGATGCATTAGTGTGTATTTTAACTTAGTCATCAACTTAACTTTGACTTAACTAACATCTAATTGTCACCATGAAAATGATGTTTCCATCATAAAAGAGTTGAGGTCCTTAGATGAGTAATATCATTATGTTAAAGAGAGTTGGTGAACAGAGAGAGAAATCTTCATGTGTTACTATATTTAAAACCCTCTCTAAAAGTTGTCGATCAGCTTATTGCTACAGGATGTTAAGTGTCAAATGATGTGATGTGATGTCACTAGGTAAATTTATAAGCTACATATTTAAGACCAGTTTATAATAGTGTGCATTTTTGTTGGTGATGCATTCTTGTTACTTGAATATGGCAATTCAAAGGCCAAGATGTCAGGAAAAGAACTCAAGTTAAATTTAATCTGTGGGACCAAATAATTGCTGTCTTATGAAAGATTCTTATCTCTTTAAAGTTTGTGTTGTAAAACATGTCTTAATATTTGTGACTATATCCTGTGGGTTGAGAGGAGGCTGTGTTGGCATATATCAGCCATCCTTTCAAATTATATTTTGATCAAGTCTATGTTTTAAAATATTTAGCTTTAAAGGATGTTTAAAAGTTTTCTTTTTGTGGTAGGTATTTGGAATGTTAATGAAGATTATCATTAATTTTATTTTTCTGGGAAGCATGTGTACCAGTCAATAAACATTTGTGGAGAACCTATCCTGAGTGATTGTGTGTACTTTTTTAGTTTTCATTTCTCTTGAATCTGAGACTTTAAATGTCTGCCTATAGCAGGCTCTTTTCCCTCTTTTAATTTTTGCTTCCAGACTGCTGTGGGTTTGGAAATTAAATACTTAACATTTGTTAGAATTTTGTGTAAAATGAGATTGTGTAACTCTGAATAATCTTTCATTTCATTTATCAAGTATATAGGCACATTTATATGTACAAATGCATTTTTTTCTTAGTGCATGAGCTACATGTATTTTGGCTACTCAGAGGTCTGTTTAATGACTTGGCTTAGACCTTGGCTGTGTTTTTTAATTTTTCGTTGTTGCTTTTTTATTGAAGTATAACTGATCTATATAGTGTGTTACTCTTGTGTGTATGACATAATAAATTTAACTTTTATATACAATACACAGTGATCACCACAGTAAGCATTTTCCATTCATTCTTAGCATTTTCAATTACCGATACATTGTTTATTGACCTCATGCTGTACACCACATTCCTGTGCCTTACTCCATAACTGGAGATTTGTGCTTTCCTCTCTCCTTTACCCATTTCACCCCTCCCCAAGCTTCCTCCCTCCTGGTATCCAGCAATCTGTTCTCTTTATCTATGAGATTGGTTTTGTTTGGTTTGGTTATTTGTTTAGTTTTTTAGATTCCACATAGAAGTGACATCATAGCAGTATTTGTCCTCATCTGGTTTATTTCACTTAAAATAATACCCTCAAGATAATGTATATTATTGTAAATAACAGGTTATGTTCTTTTTTCTAAAGTACTTGTGAGTGTGAGAGAGAAAGAGAAAGAAATCCTTATCCATTCATCTATCAATAAATACTTAGGTTTTTCCATATCTTAGTTATTGTAAATAACGCTGCAGTGAACATAGGGGTGCCTGTATCTTTTTGAATTAGTGTTTTCATTTTCTTAGAAAACACCCAGAAGTCGAATTGCTGGATCATATGGTAGTTCTATTTTTAATTTTTTAAAGGAAACTCCATATTTCTATAGTGACTGTAACAACATGCATCCCTACCAACGTTGCAGAGAAAAGGGTTTCCTTTTCTCTATATTCTCTTCAACATGGCACGTGCTTGTGTGTGTGTGTGTGTGTGTATGTGTGTGTGTGAAAGAGAGAGAGTGATGATAGCCATTTTGACAGGTGTGAAGTGGTTTTCATGAGAGTTTGGATTTGCATTTCTGTGATTATTAGTCATGTTGAGCATCTATGTCTTTGGGAAAAAATGTCTATTGTATCCTCTGCCCATTTTTCAATAGGGTTGTTTCTTTCTTTGTTATTGAATTGTATGAGTTCTTTATTTTGGTTATTAACCCTTATTGGATAGATGATTTGCAAATATCCTATTCAGTAGGTTGTCTTTTTTCTTTGTTGATGATGTCTGTCATTGTGCAAAAACTTTAGTTTGATGTCCCTCTTATTTAAGCTTTTGTTTCTCATGCTTTATACCAAAAATAAACAGACAAAAAACAAAAAAACTCAGAGAACTTAACTGCTGTGTTTTTTTCTAGGAGTTTTATGGTTTCAGTTCTTATAACCAGTTCTTTAATTTATTTTGAGTTAATTTTTGTGTAATGTGTGAGGTAGTTGCCCAGGTTCATCCTTTTTGCATGTGGCTATCCAGTTTTCACAGCGCCTTGCGTTGAAGAGTCTACTTTTTCTCTGCTCTTGTCTGCTCTGTGTTTAAATAAACTATATATGCGTGGGGCCTAGTTAGCTGTATATATAAGAAGTTCTAAAAAGTTTGAAGAGTATTTTTTTTAAGATTTTATTCATTTATGCATACAGAATTGGGGTACAGGCCAGAGGAGCAGGGGTGGTGAGAGGATTCACCAGGAAGAGTGGGGAGCAGAACAGGCAGATCCACAAAGTACCCTGCTGAGGGAAGAAGCGGGCCAGACAGGAGAGATCTGCTGCGCCATGTGGATCACCTCTGGAGTCAGGGATCAAACTCTTACTGAAGTGGCTGCAGCTAGCTTGCAGTGCTGTTCTCTAACCTGTTGTGCCACCAGGGAGAGCTCTGTAGAGTGTGTCTTAAAGAATGCATTCTTTTTTTTTTTTTTAAAGATTTATTTATTTATTCATACAGAACTGGTGTACAGGCCAGAGATGTGGAGGGTGAGAGGATTCACCAGGAATAGAGTGGGGAGCAGAACAAGCACATGGATGGAGTACACTACTGAGGGGAGAGCAGTGGGCGGGTCAGGAGAGGTCTGCCACGCCATGTGGATCTCCTCCCTGGCAGGCAGGGATCGAACTCATGTGGAAGTGGCTTAAGCTTCCCAGTGCAGTGCTTTAACCTGCTGCGCCACTAGGGAGGGCCAAAGAATGCATTCTTAAAGAATAAAGTCATTTAGCTTGATTGTTGCCTTTGCCCTGCATGCAATTATTAAGATTTATCATTTTTCCCTTTTTCATCTTTTCTTCTATCTTATTTTACCGTTTATTTCTTTGAGATTAGAATACAACAGCCCATCTATGTTATTCATGTTCTGCTTGATCTTGCATAACATCATCAGAATATACTTCTAAAGAATATTGCTATGATTTATCATTTTCCTCCTCTA